ATTCTTTAAATGTTTTAAGCACATTAGAATGCCTTGTTTTTTGAAATATCTATATCGCTAAACTTGCCTTGCCTTAAAGACTGGAAAAAGGGTTTAGAGAGTACAAAGCTTAAAAGCATCTTTCCAAATCTTTATACAAATCATTGGTCAAAATGGACTGAATTAAAAGTCCTAATACTTAGTCATCCTCAATTGCTGTTTGAAATTGTTCATCACTGGTGGGGAAGTGACACTGTCCCTTACCGCAGTTATGGACATTTTTGAGGATGTGTTCGTTTTCTCGCAGGTAGCTGTTGAGCACGAAGCGCATCGGGAACTCAGCGAAGACAAAACTCAGCTGGTGAGGAGGAGAGAGCATTCGTTTCTGCAGCTGCTCAAACGTATCTTTCCAATGTTAAACTGATCATGACATGAGAAGAATTTTAGGTTCATTTGATAAAACGGCAGCATAAATGAGACTCACATGGAAGATGATGAAGAAGATGGACTGGAAGACGATGATGTAGCTGTGGCACGCGCCCTTAGGGAGCTTCTTCTGCTCCTGCACATGCTCTTCTCTGTAGTTCACATACTCGTAGTACTGCTGCGCCATCCTGCATGCCCATAAATTCAATCATTCATTTTATGTTCAGTAGGTGTGTGTCCATTTGAAGACTGTATACAGAATGACCTGTACACTTCTGGATGTGTTAGACATTTTGGAGCACATTTCCAAATCTATTATCTGAGGCTACTGTGTCATAAAAACAGTGGTTGCTAACAAGTGACTTGTTGTCATGTCATCATTCAGAATAATAGCTGAGCCTTTAGCTTAGCGGTGTCGATGCCAATTCATGTAGTTTGTGTATAGCCTATAGCATTAGCTTTTTTTACTTTTGGCGACTGGATTTACAGTTAATACATCCTAAAAAGTGGTGTCAATATGTTGAGATAGTCCCGTTGAAGCAAATGTCTAAGTATCATAAATGTGTGTTAGCCACAGATCTTATTTTCTTCATCTTTCCCTAAACCAATGGAAAGATCCCAGTGCTTGGTAGGCTCATTTCCGGGTCGGCCAACACAAATAAGTCACCACTGCACCACTCAATTGTGAAATTAAATAATGACTTGCACGCATGAAATATATATACATTTCCATTATCTGTTTTTCTTCATTCATTTTTATAAAGGCTCTATATTCAACACATGGAAATAAAAAAGCATAGATCGGATTGGTGAATTGGGTTTCTAACGGCATTGTATCACAAACACAAAAAAAGAGCTGACAAAGTTCCCAACACAGCGCTGCACAACTAAGAGCCTCGTAAACTATTGTTTGGGCATTGCACTGATGGAAACAATAAGGTATTGTTATTCCTACACCTCTTTGTGAACAGACATGGAAATGATTCACCTTCAGCGGCTGATGATGCTTCAGCTCCAGTTTTACTGACTGACACAGCACCTTAGCAAGGATTTTGAAAGTAAAAGCTCTCATTTCACTTGAAGATTTAAAAAAAACTATTGTCAAGTGTTTGTAATTCCACTTGTGATTGCTTTTTAATTACATTACATTACATGTCACTTGTTAGACGCTTTTATCCAAAGCGACTTACATACTCAATACTGTGGGCAATCCCCACAGGAGCCATTTGGGGTGAAGTGTCTCAGGGACACAACGACATGCTGACTGCAGTGGGGTTTGAACCTGTGCTCCCCTGATCCCAACACCAACGCACTAACCCACTGCACCACAGCCCCCCTACAGCAGGACTTGATGAACCCATGGGGGGGGGGGGTCTGCTTTACTTTCTCTTTTTCTGGCCCTGTGTTTAAAGGGTTGTTTTGGTTTGAAATCCTGTATTACTTCAGGTAAGTGCTTTAACTGTATGTTGGAATTTTCCTAGATTGTCTCAAATCTCCCTTACTGTACATGTGTGTGACTTGATTTTGTGGCTACCTTCATTGGATATGAGGGGATAAAAGTTCCTAAATGATATAATTGAAGCGTTGATGACCATTAGAAACGCTCAATTTTAAGGATCATGGTAAGATTTATGGTAAAGGTCAAAGGGTAGTTCTAAAGATATATTTAGGGTTTATAGAATTGAGGAATTGAAGTCCACGTGTACACAGTACTGCACTCACAGTGAAATATAACCTCTGCATTTCACCCATCCTAGAATTACGAGCAGTGGGCAGCTATTATAAAGCAGCGGTGGGAACACAGGCCTTGCTTAAGGGCAACTTGGCAGGGCCACAGGTTGTCAACTGGTACCTCTCTGCAGTGAAGGTAAAACCAACAATCGGAAACTGGTCGTCAGTACTCGTCTGAGTACTTCCACATGACGTAGGTCCAGCCTCCGCCTCTTATGTTACGTCTTTATCCGCCCACCCTTCCACATCCGCTTGCTCACCTTGTAATGTAATTTCCCAACGAGGCCCAGAGCGGCACGATGGCCACGCCGATAGCCACGGCCGATGGGACCAAGGTGTAGTACCGCTCCCAGTAATTGGTCGACACAAAGAGTGCGTAGATCCCTGAAGCGAGGAACATCATCCACTTTGTACCTAGAAACCTTCCGGGGATATAAATAGAGGAAATATTGTTGTTATAGAGCAAGGACAGTCAGTTACAAAAGGAAAGGTTTTATCATTTGTGCATTTGCTACCTGATAAGTACGGGGGTGTACAGCAGACCTATGATGGGCGTGACGTTGATGCCCATCAGCATCTTGTGATCGATGTCCTCCAGGCCAAGGTTGCTGTACTTCACTTCGCGGTAGGTCATATCATAATGGAGTATTAGCTGCATCTGCAGTAGACCTGTAGAGAAAGATTTAATGGAACTATGCTCTTCTTCCTTCATCCAATGTACTGTCTTTTGTTCCATACTGACCCATGTACACACTGTACACAATCATGGCTCCAACACTGGCTGCAAGGACGTTCTTGATAACTCCAAGCCTCTTTCTCCTGTAGTACTTCCTCTCCTCTTCCTCCTCGTTGTACTCTGCTTGTGGGCCAAGAAACCCCTTTATTCAAAAAGAAAAAGGAAAGGAGAGGTGAGGGGGGGGGTTTGGTTGGTAGTATTTAATCACATCTTTCTCTGGAAACACTAGAACTGGAGTTTTCCCAGGAAAACGTACCTGCTCCTGTGCGTTTTCTTCTTGGTCCACATTCAGCAGTTCGTTTATGCCGCCATTGGGAGGCTCTACAAACTGATCAGCATCCCTGACCAACACCTCTCGATCAGGTGCCTCCATCTAGTGACCAAAGCCGGCAGTACTCTGGATTATTACTTGTTTACTGGACCAAACCCAATCAATGTTTTTGTGTCATTACTCCCATTATGCTTCTGTAGAAACCATCTTCAGTTCATACTCATGAGAATACAGTCAGAGGTTTTTTGTTGAATTATCACAGGTCATAAAAAAAATCACGATACATTCCAGATAAAATGTAAGGCTGGATAAATCTGGATTATCAATATACTTACTCTTTTAAATTGTGGACTTTTAATGTTGGAGTAAATAACATGGGCAGCAGTCATATTTATAATGAGACTACTTCATTTTAAGTGCTCCTTTTTAGTACTTAATTGTTTATTCATTCCTATGACTGTGAGATAAGGCTATTACAGTTTGTTATGTGAGTTTTTAGCCACCTTATTTGGATAACAAGGGATAAAAGTACATACATGATATTTGGAACTTCTTTGAGTTTGAGAATTGTAAGCATTGGGTTGAAGTATCTTTGAAGCCTTAACACCTCGGACGTTACAATATTAAAGGTTATGTGTGGGCTCAGGGAAAATGCTTATTTTTTTATTTCTGGGACACATTCAGTGGTACATTCTCTTGTCGTTGACATTAATTTCTCTATTTTTCTCTCCTAAAGAAAATGTTTTAGATAAAACGTTCCACTAAAGAAATAGAAAAAAACAAATACTTTATTAAAGTGTGTTATATTTCTAAATCAATTAAATTGTATTCGTTTTTTGATTAAATAATTCTTGTTTTACGTTTGTTTGTTTTTTACTTTCTTTAAGTTAGTGGAAAGTTCAATGTTGTGGCTATTGACCCCTCATGTTACAGTTCTTTTTATTTCATATCTAGATTGTCAGTGCAAATAAGACAAAAGGTAAAAAAAATAGACACACTATATCTAGCAACGTGATTCTAAGTGCAACTCAACAAACATGACCACATTGGTATAAAAGAGGATATAGCCCATAACATGTTCTCCAAAATGTTAGCAAGACATAGCATTAACATTTCAAGCTTTATTTTAGGGGTATTGAACTATCCTCATCTAGATTTTTTTTTAATCCACGTTGTGTGCTCTTTCCCCCCAGCGTTGCCTTTAGAACTCGTGTAACGACTTCCTTTTAATCCTGAACGTAACAGTGGAATAATGAAAGGTGGGTCAAAGAGCTAAATTATATAAGTTATTGTACTGTCTGGTATCAAACTATGCTTTGATATAGTTGTGCATACCTATAGCGACTTCTGCAGTATTAATAATGCAGCATTGTATTCAAACAGTACACGTCAGCAACACATTTTAGGTTTATTATTTAAAAAGACTATTCTGAAATACCAAGTGTGCTGTAAATCACCTAGCATACTTACCTAACGACAAGCCTCATTTTTACAAACACCTTGAACATCACTTACCGTGTTTCTCGCGCGGGGCTCCTCGCTCCTCGTCTGAAACGTTATTCCACCTGCAACATAGAGACGACAGACCCCCTCCTACCCTGGGCCACTTTTGTTTCAGCAGCTGTCAGTTCCCCTTTCTCTTGTACAACGTGCAGGTATAAATAAGTTTAGCGAAGGAAACGAAAGTCTTCACTTCCTCACCCCAATCTGCCTGACGGTCTGTCTTAAAGGTACAGGCACATATTTAGGAAACCCAGCCCTCAGAGTGCTACTGTAACAGTAGTGAGACAGGAGGCAACTTCAATGGCTAAGAAATGTGAAGGAAAAATAAAAAATACCCTCATGGCAAAACTTGTGTTGTTATGATAATAGACATTTTTATTTGAGTACTTAATAACATCAAAACACTGTGTAGCTTCAACAATATGTAGCAAAAAGATGCCACAGTGGTGAGCATGTGAAAAAAAAAAAACATCAGTCAAAACATTGTCCTCTCACATAGGGCACAATACAGTCTACACAAGCATGACAATTATGAGTTGAGTCCATCTTCAACACACGTCCACGTTAAGCCGGAGTGATGCAGCTGTCTGCATTGGAGATATTGTTGAGTCAACACAGCACCATCCAGCCCTGACAGAGTAAACTTTATGCATAGCGTCTTGTTTAAAAAGACATGATTCATTCAGTGCTGGTTCTGATCCATCCGTGTATAAATTACTGTATTTTGAGGTTTTGTTCAAAACCTTGTCTACATAACAGACAATGTACGATGTTGTGTAGCAACATTTTGACCCCCGTTTACTTTTACCCCCTTTGAAAATTGATTTTTAACCATGTTCAAAGGGTGATTTGGAAAACGGGGACTAAATGCAAATCATTCCTAGTGTTTGTTTTAACCTGCCACAAGTACCAGACGGTTGGTGCCACAAAACTTCAAATTACTTGAGTTTCTTCAGTAGAAACAGCACCTTTCATTTCGGAGCAGTTAAAAACAAGCACAAAGTATGACTTTAGAAATAATATCCTTTTCTTCTTTCCAGTTATTTTTCATACGATATTTTGAAGGACCAGGCAAAGCTGAATGTACACGAGGCTGGTGGAGAAGTTTCAAGATGTCCTCCTGCTGTCATTCCACCAGATCCTTATCCTCTACTGCAGTGGAGGAAGTAGTTTCTCTCACTGGACCCTTATATTTCTATGCTTTTTGATTTCCAACCCCAACCACTCATTAAAACACAAGTCTCTCACCTTAGAGAAACCAGATATGGCGACCCCATCCCGTAACTTTTAAATCCCCCAAAATGCTCTACTTCTTTCTGTTTAACAGCGTCTCTATTCGCTCCCTACTGCTGCCTTCCTCATAATTTCCTCGTCCTGGACGGAGAGCTCTGTCAGTTTGCGTCCCAGCTTCTCGTGGAGGTCTAGGTATTTTGCCACGCAGCGGTCCAGGCACACCGACTCCCCCTTCGTCAGCTCCGCCTCCTTGTAATGTGGCGGCACACACTTCCGGTGGCAGGCGTTGGTCATTCTGGGAATACATGGGAGTCAGGAGACAGTTAGATTTGTAAAACACGTTAAAACATTTTATTAAAGCTTGTGTGCAAACACATAATAATGCCTGAACATCTTAATATGATGTCCCACCAATATTAGCAGATAGTTAATGTCACTTGGCAAACAAAACAGCTCCATCTGCTGGAACTAAAACATTTTTTTAGATCTTGAGTGCAACTTTTTTGACCAAGTACATTGCTTACAGGGGACATAGTATGCTTGTTTTCAGATTCACGCTTGTATTGGTGCTTGCTACTAAAATGTGTTTGAGGAGTGACTGCATGCTTTTGCCTTGAGAAAAAGCGTAGCAACCAGAGACTATTTCTGATTTCTGATTATCGTGCGATCGTTCCTAATTCTTCTTGTTAAAAATATTTAGGGATGCTCCGATCGCCAATTTTGGGGCCGATCGCCGATCGCCGGAATCAGTATCGGCCGATACCGATCGCCGATCCGATCGAGTGGGCGGGGCCTAAATGGAAGATTTAAACATCACTTTAAATCTTCCATTTAAAGTGATGTTTAAAACTCAGTTAATGGGGCTCATTCACTGGAGCTTCCACAAACAACAATCAACTTAATTATTACATTCAAATTATGTATATTATTCAAGTTTACATTCACTTTGGATAATACCACGGGAGAAATGAGCGGAAGCGCTCTCTCCCTCTCTCTCTCCCCCTCTCCTGACAGCCCATCAGTATCGTCTCATGCAGCTCACTGATCCAGTAATGAGTGACCCGTCAGTGAAGAATAAACATATTTATAACTAGTTTAGCTTGTTCCAGAGGTAGATAAAATAGCTAAGTGTGTTAGGTCTAACTCTTAGTGTGTGTTCTGCTCCGCTCACCGGTCCGTCACAGCGGGCGGAGCTGCAGGATTTCTGCTTCACACACACGTTGCATACCGCTATTTTACTGTCTTTTTCGGACACCTTAAAATAATGCCAGACCGGTGAAGCCATTTTGGCGAGCTTGTTTTGCCGCGCACAGAGAAAAGTGTCATGTATTTTACGTCATGCGATCGGCCCTCGCGATCGGCATGTTTAGAGAGCACCGATCGATCGGTAGAGAGTGAGTATCGGCAGATCTCGATCGGTGACCGATCGATCGGAGCATCCCTAAAAATATTACACTTTTTAGGAAAAGGGATTTAGATTTCAGATTTAGATTTAGATCATAACAAAGACAGATTTAGCTATTTTACTATTAAATACTTGCTTTGTATTTGCAGTGTAGTACTTTTCATAATAATAATAAAAATAATAGGTATCATTGTGTATTTAATATAATAATAATCATTAATACTATTATTTTCTTTGGGAAAAAATGTAAATTAATATTGCATCACTAAGATATATGTACAATAAATAAAACATATTTCAAGACAACTTCACCTTGGGTACACGAAATCATCTTAATTTGTGACAATGAATAGATGCCATAGCAATTACATTGTTACTTCTACATTGATCATAATTGAAGCCCTACAAATTTAAACTGCGGTTTATTACAGAAAAAAATAAATGATATCCAATATTGAGACGAGATCAATGCTGTCAACTTAAAGGGCCCATGTCATGGCCATTTCCACTGATCATAATTCCATTGTTGAGGTCTACTAGAATAGATTTATATTGTGCAATTTTCCAAACTCACATTGGTTTCTCATACAGCATCTCTGTAAACTACGTGTATTCACTGAATTTCACTCTCTGCCTTTAACGGCTCGTTGTAGCTCCAAAAGCTCCAGCCCCCACCCTCCCTGTGAGCCCAGTGTGCTCTGATTGGTCGGGACGTTGTGAATCGCGCTGAGCTCCGTGGAGGTGTTGTTTCCTTGTTAGCGATACACAGCCAAACACAGCCAAACTCATCCTGAGCACACACAAAGTCACAGCCGAAGTAAAAACAATAAGTGTGGCTTGATATTGAGTAAGAAAAAGGTTGATAAACGCTGTGAGAATGGGTCTGCAGAGAGAATTTCGCCGCGATCCCAACTGTCTGTTATCAGCCTGCAGCCAGGGAGGAGAAATCAGCTGAGCTGCCTGCTCCCTGCACACAGATGTGTGTGTGAGGAAGTCCGTGGATTGGTCAATTTGGAACAATCAGCGGGGGCTTAACGTAACGGCTCCTCGGACGTAACGTAATGGCTCCACGGATTGGTCTATTTCGTTCCGGGTACGGCTTGACATCATGCCGTACCCAGAACGAAATGGAAGAATCAAATGGACAATGACGTATCTCCAACGAGGCGTTTTGGGGAGGTATTTTCTGTGTTAGAGTTTTACTCGCTACAGGGTGTACTTTCAGGGTTTGTGACTCTGCACACCGTTTACATGCATAAAAACCTTCATAACACACAAGGGGACGGGTAATAACCGGAAAAGCATGACATGGGCCCTTTAAAGGTAGGGTAGGTAAGTTTGAGAAACCGGCTTTTTTTTACAGGACTTTCAGTCGTTCAACATCGATCAACTGTTCGTTTCAATGGTGGCATGCATGTTCCAAACGAGTTGCTAGATGTAATATTACAGCGTGTGGGGCTCTGCTGAGTGCTGAGAACCAATTAATCTGTCACATGCACTGCAGTCAGTCTACAGTTATTAGGTAGCTAGCATCATGTAGGGACTCTTCATGTGCAGCTAGGTCAAAGCTGGCTAACATTAAGGTGAAACTTTGTAACTGCAACACGACACGTTTAATAAAAACTACGCATGAAGGCCAGAAGACAGTTTAATACTGTCATAAAGCTAGCATTAATGTGTTATAGCTAGCTTAATGGCTAACTTTTTGGCTTACCGGTTGTACATGTCTGACATCATCTCCACCTCCAGCTCCGCCGCCAGCTGCTGCGCCTTCATGGGATCCATGTCTGCTCCTCAGTGCTGCTCTGTCCCCGGCTTTAAACACAAACACGTCGCCCTGGTGATCCTCTGCAGTGGACAGACGACAAGAACTACCCGGTGCTTCTTCTTTAACCTTCAAACCTGCAAAGAAAACACGCGTGTGCCGTTACCGCTCGCACTTCCGGTGTCAATAAAGTTGCATTCAAACTGAGAGCAGAGACAGTGCGCCCTCTCCTTGCTTTTCTGTACATTTCCACAGATTAATATATCATATATATTTCATATTTATTCTGAAACTATCACATTTAAAATCATGAAATATAAAACTGCAAACTATGTGTTTTTTTGTGTTTAAAAAACCTTAGTAAAGTCTTACTGTTTATAATGTACAACAGTCCCTGAGCACTCAAATAATGTATTTTGATTGAATGATTATGTAAAAAAAAGACACGGATGAAAATACAGATTTTTTTTAATAAACCATAATTATGTAATTTACACAACACACTCAGTCTGAAAATTCAAATTTCACTGAAAATATCAAATTAAGACGGATGTGAACAACACGAAGAACTTTTTTCTCTATGTAATCAATGCTTTTGCATATTATTAATAGAAACATGAATAAAACAATATAAACATATTTTAACCTTGTATATTGAACAAAAGGTCAAAACCAGAAGTGTTTCTCCTATGTATACCACCAACTGACTGGTAAAACGTAAAAAAGGACTATACAAATCTGTTATATAATACTTCACAGCAAAATTCACTGAAGTCTGGCATCTCTGTGAACATACACAAACAAAGGGCTTTGCCCACAAGTGCTGAACCTGTCACAACATAGCCAAAAAACTATGCTCAAATACAAAATGTCACTCTGCCTCATCTCCAGTTACATCAACATCGTTCACATCTTCCTCTTCTTCTTCTTCCTCTGGAGTTATTTCAATGTTGTCAAGTCCGTTCAAACACTCTCTGCTCGGAGGCACTTTGTCTGGGGAGTAATGAAGGATGTCCACCTCCACTTCCTCCTCCACCTCCACTTCTTCATTTTCTTCTTGATCGCAGACTGAGGTGTTGCAGAACCCGACAGTGTCTGAAAGAAGGGGGGCAGTTCTCTTGGGGGTCTGTGGGTTTAAAGGAGTTTTGTTTTGTTGAGGCAGATGGGTGTCACTGTGCGACAAGTCTTCATTGTTGAACGAAGTCTGATGTGTATCTGACACTCCTGCATCATGGGCTTTTAGAGCTGAAAAAATAAGAAACCAAGATGGTTTATCCAGATATGAGACATTTTTAGGGGAAATAAACTAGTACATTATTTATATAAATGTGTTGATATCAGCCTTGATAGCATTTAGCCCATCTTTTCAAAGAATAGTTTGAACACTTCAAAAACCTATCTTTTGATCTCTACGATTAAAGACTCCATTGTCTTAAAGGTAGGGTAGGTAAGTTTGAGAAACCGGCTCGAGATCGCTAGAATTTGAAATAACACAACCGGAGAAAATCTGCCACTTCCTTACAGAGCCCCTCCTCCAACACACACGAACGCGCACATGACCAATGAGGGCACGAGATAAGTTTGTGCACAGATGGAAGGCTGACAGGCAGGTAGGCCATCCAGTTATTTTAGCCGGGCCGGCTAAAATGATTGGTCGTGCTTTTTACAGTACTACGGCTTCCACAGATGACATTTTTTATGGATTTTTTGTCAAAGCACTTAAGATATTCATTGCTATCGGGATGTTAAGAGCATTCCATGGAATATAACAAAAAGTGTATCTCGAGCCGGTTTCTCAAACTTACCTACCCTACCTTTAACAGTAGCAAAGCCGTCAGTGGTGAAATTGAAAAATCGAATGAAATGAAAATGTAACAGAAAAAAACTCAAACATACAAGAAAAAACTATATTTTTTATAATATTTGAAAATAAACAAAATGGCAAAAATCTTTTATGAAATTCTCAGATTTAGTCACTACAAACAGCTAAAATGGTAAAAGGTTTTCATCAATTCACTTTGCAAGTTTGGATCGACCTCATCACACTAAAGAGAGGCAAGTGTTTGTTAATTGTTCTAAATCCGACTACAAAATACATTTGATTACGTTAAACCAATCCAGATATTATTCACTGCAAGAGGCAGAATCTGTGGTGTGGAGAGTTTGATCCAACTTTCAAAAGCGAAGGGGAGGGGTTCCTTGACAAAAATACATTATTTGTGTTATTTTCTTGACTTTCTCTTGTTATTCCCAATTTTAATCTCCGAAGAGTTTTGGTTTATTTCCTCATACATTTCTGACTTTATACATTTTAATCAAGTTTTTTGCTTGTATTTTCTGAATTACCTCTTTAAACATATTAAACTCATACCTTGTTGTTTCTGAGTTTCTTCTTGAACAATGAACCCCTAACCATGCGACAAAGTTACATATTCTCATTAGTATGTTGTTTTCCAACCTAACCAATAAATGAAATTGTGAAAGTAGAAGTAGTAGCTTTTCCCTATTTGTTCATACTTCAAATGTTTTACTCTGACTGTTAACAATGCAAGGGCGTGAACATCTTTCAATTAAAAGTAAAGAAAAAAAAACACACTACCTTCATTCGGATTCTTTAGTGGATGCTCCCTCTCAGCTGGTACCTTGGCCTGGTCTTCTCCTAAGAACTCAAAGGAAAACACGGGAGGGGGCTCATCCCCAAACAACCCGGTCCCGTTTGCGTCATCTCGCTGTGATTGGCCACACTCTTCTGTTGACTTGTGGAAGATTTGATTGTGATTTTCATCAACTGGGACATTGAAGACGTGAGACTCCTCAATCCCATCCTTGTTCTGAGACTGAGCATTGTACATTTTAGTCAATTTTTCAGTTCTGCTCCTGCATTCCTTCCCTTCACTTTCAACATCTCTTGAGGTTCTGTTTGTTTCATTTTCCTGGCTTTCTTTTGACCTGCTTGCTTTTGAGTGTCGTTGTTTGATAAGCTTTTGAAACTCCTTCAAATTGACCATCTGTGGCTTTTGGGTTGTCTCACGTTTTCTTCCTGCTGGGATAACAACATCGTTATCGTCTACTACGTCCTTGACGGTGTTCTCGTCACTTCTGGTCTTCTTCAGTGGTATTGCAGCCACTTTAATTATATTCCTCTTCCGTTTTCTAGACCTTGGCTTTGTTTTATCTTTCACCTCCTCCGCAAAATTAATGTCAACTTGCGGTTCTCCGTTGAGATCCTGGCTGATTTTTTCAACAGCGGTAGGAGAGCTCTGCGGTTGACTCATTACAACTTTTTTTTTCTTTGGCCTTCCGCGTCCCCGCTTCACAGGTTCTCCTTCTTTATTCACAATCTGAGCTATACAGGCCTTCGGTTTTAAAGCTGAATCTTCTATGCTTGATTCACTTGGCGTCTCTTGAGTTTTTTTTAAAAAGCCCCTGGTCGTGATCCTTGTCCGTTGTTCAGTTTTGAGATCCCTGGACCCTCTGGTTCCCTCTCTCAGATCTTCTTTAATGGTTGACGGTTCATCTGGTTTCTCTAAATCTTTGTAAGAATGATCGGCCATTTCTCTTGCCTTCGTCAGCACATTGTTGCTCAACGAACCAATGCTCAGGTTTGTCTGCTCTTTGGTTCCATTATTGACTTTCACGCATTCCAATGACAAAAGAGAACTGGCTTCTTGTTGACGACTTTTGCGCTTTCTCTCCCTCCTTTTAGGCACTTCAGCATCGTCTATCGTGACATCTTGTACTTGTTTGCATTTCAAACCTCCCGTTTTCTTCCTGGAAGAAGATTCTTGTTCTGCCACATTTGGAAGACCAGCAGATATTGCTCCAATGTCTTCAACCTCTTTAACCCTCTTCCTCTTTTTCCTGGGATCAGATTTGTCTTCTGCCACATGTGCAGGACCAGCAGATATTGCTCCAATATTTTCAACCTTCTTTAAACTTTCCTTCATTATCCTGGGATCAGATTTCGGTTTCGCCACATTTCCAGGGCCAGCAGATATTGCTCCTCTGTCCTCCACCTCATTCACAGTACAAGATGTGGCCCATGTTCCCCAACTTTGAGGATTTATCCCCAGATGCCATTGCCTTGACCAACCGCTGCCGTTTGTATACTGTGGTACAGATGCACTTTTATTTGGTTTGTGAGTGATGCCACTAAGAGGATATTGTAGTGGTCCGGGGTTACCTGTGAGCCAAGGTCGCCTGTCTAACGTTGTATGTGGCTGGCTTTGACTGCTTTGGTGCGTTGAGTTGTTGATGGTAGGGAGATCTAACGGAGAGAGACATGGAGGAAGCTGCAAATCATCCATGGAAGGTAAAGGATGCGAGGAGAGCGCCTCATTTCCATTTGTCAGGGGTAAAAACTCAAGGATGTTCGGATTGCCTTGTGCAGACGGTTCCTGGCATACCGGGTAATAGGTAAGGGCAGTAACAGTTTTCTGTCCACTGGAGTATAGAGCTGTGGGTATGACTGATCGTGTTGTGGGTGCTTCAGGATATGGACAATTTTGAGTTTTGGGCATTGACGATCCATCTTTTCGCACCATGGCTGTGAAGGGTGGAGGATACTGAGGAAAGCGCTGCTGCTGCTGGATAAGCAAAGAAGAGGGCTGTACAGATGAAAGGCTTGAGCTGTTGGGCTGGTTCTGTGCTGTTAAACAATAGATACCTGTACGACAGGTAAGAACAATGTCATTAATTAATCTTGAGTGTATTCATCTTGAGTGAGAGCAAACAGGAAAGCAGAAGCAGACGTGAGGAAAACAACAACTTAAGTCAATAGGGAACAAAGAGTCTCTTTTCATTTGTATCTCTTCTGTTCAATCCACTACAGAGATTATTATACAACGTCATGGAGGTCTGGAATGAAGCTAAGTGGTCAGTGGATGTGGTGTGAAAACATTTGGCGATTTTGTTTTAATGTTTGTTTCATAACAACGGCCTGTATTTTTTTTATTTATTGTATTTGTGTGAATATGTATTTTATTCACAGTCATATATTTTATGAAATAAGAGATACCTAACTATAACTAGATTAATACAGGTTAGGGCTGTCCCGAATACCATTTTTCGGGCTCCGGATAATCGGTAGTAATCTGCAGCGAATATTCGGCCCGCGCGGCGAACCGCTTCAACACGTGTATTTCGGTTTATTCACGGCATTCGTTTTGTTATTCTACAGTATTGTCGTTTTATAGTTATTTGTTCATGTATACAACCCAATTTATGTTCTTTGAAATTGAAAAGGATATTGCATTGTGCCGAAGAGGCACAAGCTCTTACGTTGATATTGGAGTTTTCAATAAATTCAATTTGGCAACCGCAGTGCAACGAATATCCGAATAACGAAATTGAAACCCGAATAGTACTCCAACGAACGTATTGAAGTACTATACTCCAATACGTTCGAGTACAGCCCTAATACAGGTAAAACGAAAAAATATGGGTTTTTTTTCATTTTGGGGTAAACCGTCCGTTTAACCCTAAAATGTATCATTGAGACAATAGATTGGTGCAGAGATGAGTTATAAAACCCGGAGATTAGTTAGCATTTCACTAATTTGGTTCCATTGTATTGAATTCAACGTTTCTTTTACGTGTTTATGGTTATTATAATATGTGGTTAACACACGCTGAACAGATTATAATGTTTTGTTCCACAAGATAAAATATGTCAGGAAATACCCCCCTGGTGAAAGTCCAAAGCTTCTATGTGTCGTAAAAACAGCAGTTGCTAACAAGTGACTACATAAAACTACACGCTGTACATTAGCTGCCATTAGCTTAGCGGTGGTAATGTGAAGCCATGGGACTGTGACATATTTCCTTTAAAGCCTAACGTAAACTTTTTAATATGTTGAGATTATCCTGCTGCAAAAAACGTGTACATGCAGGACACAAAGCTTATTTTTAGCAATAAAAGAAAAACCCAATGGGGAAATCCTATTGCTTGTGGAGGGATCACTTGTGATGCCAACATCCGGGTTGGCACCACTCTATTGTTAAAGAACACCTTGCAAATATTACGTTAGGTGGAGGAAATAATAAATTGTAGGGAAAAAAAATGGATCTAAATACCTGTAGCTGATGATGAGTGACCAATTTGTGTCCCAAAATCCTGGTAATACACGCACCCGGTAGCACTAGCAGCAGAATGCATCAGACTCTGTGGCTGCTCATTTTCTGAAGCTTGGGCATGGCAAATGGCGGTTGGTTCATTATAATTGGACTTCTTGCAGTCTCTCTCCACGTCTGGCTGGATGTACAGGCCCATCAAGATGTCCTCCAGCAGCTTGTCAATCTGCTCATCACACTCTTCAGTTGAGCCAGGAAGCTTGGGGAGGGGGGCTGACTCGAGGACATTTTGGTTTTGGATTGGGGCAAAGCATTCAGTGGAGAGAAGCTGGGAGTCAGAGGTGGGGTTGGGGGGAGGATGTGGTTCAGGGGTAGCAGCAATAGGTTGAAGAATCGGGGTCTCGGGCTGGACAGAAGAGGGAGGAGGCTTACCGTCTGTAAGGTTTTTCTGTGGCCTTTTGTTGTTGGAACCATCCTTTAGAAAAAATATTAAGATCACATATCTTTAAAAAAAGTCAAGTTGATAAGATTCAAATCATATCTGTTCCTTATTACACGGCTGCTAAGGAGGACAGACCTTTGCTAAGGAGGATCAAGGAACTGTGTGCAGGGTTCTTACACCTTTTCCAAAGTCAAATTCAAGCACTTTTCAAGCATTTTCAAGGTGCATTTTCAAGCTTTTCAAGCATCTTACAGCTGTTGTAAATTACATATTTATATACACATACTTAAACTCAAATGATTATTTCCCTACCTCACATTAAATCAGATGTTCTTTATGCTATAAACAACCAAATGTGTGTTTCATAATAGCATTCTACATGAGGATGAAAAATTAAAAATGTTAGAAAAGAAAACTAAGTTTAATATTTCAAAATGAGTGACCCATCTGTACGTAGACTGGGCATCCCATATAACCTGGCTGAGCCAATATAAAACAATCAGCCAAATAACTTTTCAATATATTATTGATTACTATTTTTGAGGTACTTTTAGGTTGGCAGTAAACACAAGTCAGAGGTAAATGTTGTACTTTTACTCCACTACATGTATTTAATACCTTTAGTTACTTTACAGATGTGGATGAATGATGTGAAATATAATCAAGTGTTAAATCAGACTTTAGTTCCACCTGGAGTAAATTCACAAGCTACTCTGTAGTATACAAAGTCATTCAAACTAGCTGCACCTTTACCAGCTTTGATAACACTTTCATGATCAATCATTATAAAACATATCATATACAATTATTAGGGATGCTCCGATCGCCAATTTTGGAGCCGATCGCCGGAATCAGTATCGGCCGATACCGATATCGCTCTTTTCCTCTCTCCCCCTCTCTCTCTCTCCTGACAGCCCGTCAGTATCTCCTGCAGCTCACTGATCCAGTAATGAGCGACCCGACAGTGAAGAATAAATATATTTATAACTAGTTTAGCTTGTTCCAGAGGTAGATAAAATAGCTAAGTGTGTTAGGTCTAACTCTTAATGTGTGTTCTGCTCCGCTCACCGGTCCGTCACAGCGGGTGGAGTTGCAGGATTTCTGCTTCACACACACGTTGCATACCGCTATTTTATTGTCATTTTCGGACACTTAAAATACTGCCTTGTGAAGCCATTTTGGCGAGCTTGTTTTGCCGCGCACAGAGAAAAGTGTCATGTATTTTACATGCAACGATAGCCTAATCTAAAATGCTCTACGATGGCGTACCTTTCGTGTGGTGTGTGGCTCGTCAGCGCAGACTCTCGCATCGTTATTGTTGCACACTTTGCAGGAGGCTACTCTTGGGCTTCGCTTGACCCTCGTCTTAGCCATGGCTTGTATTTGTCTTCTGCTAGCCAACGCTCGTTGAAACGGCAACCTCCTGGCATACTGTCATCTATCACTCTCATCAGAATGCCCAGGTCACACACGTAACAAAAACACTTGCCGGTCACGCGCATTGCGCGGGAAGGCCGGAGCGGAGCTGTGTTATGTAAAAGCGAAGCAATTAAGCGCGCTCAGACTTCTTTATTTTCTTTTAATCTAAAAAGCGAAGTAAAGCATTTACAATTTCAAGCACTTTATCCCAAATTCAAGCACCATTCCCAAAATTCAAGCACTTTTCAAACCTTGAAAACACCTCGTACAATTTCAAGCATTTTCAAGGATTTCCAGCACCCGTACGCACCCTGTATGTGCATTCGTATCAATCTGCAGCGCAAGAGAAGGAGCGAGGTAAAAAGAGTGCTGGACGTCAGAGATATCAGCAGAAGAAGACGGACAGGAAGTAAACACTTAAGGTAACACGGTATGGTTTCTGGCATTGTTAAAAGACTGGTTAATAGAAAAGAAAATGTGAACAGACTCGGACAGCTACAGAAAACCTTGATCAGTGCCGCTTTCATTTCAAGTTACGTTGCTATAGCCGTAGTTCCAGCAATTGGTACGCCGTGGAACAGACTATTTTTTTTTCTACATAATTTACACACCGACTGAATATAATCCTCTATTTCACACAGCTGAAGCTGTGTCTGCAAAAGGTTATTTAATATATCATAATAATTTAACCCCCTCATTACACAATGCGTGATGCTGAGCTGCTGTCCCTTTAAACACCTTTAGTATTCCATGCATTGTTTCTAGTGAGGGATCTAATTGTAACAAACATCAAATATAATCCAAGTGAATTGGATGACAACTGTCTGTGTATAAAAACAAGGTCACACTTATCTACCTGTGTCAGGGTGAAAGGAAGTGTCAGCGTCTCCTCTGTTTCTTTCCTGCTCACAACTTCCCACGCCTCTCCTGTCTCCATATTCCTCTTCAGCTTCACCTGGGAAGACAATACAGGGAAAGATTAAAATCAAGGATAAAAAAAGAGATATGTTATGACAGTCTGAAAGCATTTTAAACACATCATAGCTTAGATGCCATTATTCTGTCATGAAACTAAATTCTGTTCCTTTCTTTTCTTTTCTACTCTAGTGCAGTTGTGACTCAAAATGTAAGGCTGCAGTGGTTGAGTGAGTTTGATAGCCTGACCTATTTGATGGATGAAAACGTAATTAGCTACAGCAGTTAATGTTGATATCTTTAAATGTAATTTTTGTTTATGAAATAATTCCATAGATATTCATTTTTAAATTAGAAATAACCGGAAACAGCAGGAAATGTTCAAATGTCTGCCATTTGTGCTGCAAAATTTGTTGAAAATTAATCAAAATCGTGATATGGGTTAGTGTAATAGTCAAATGGCAGGAGGCACAATAGGTTTTCAAGGCAAAATAAGTGTAAACATGTTTCTAAATTAAGTATTATGTTGCTGCATAGAGGTCTGGCATACAAATGGTATTCTACAGATTTAATACAAAATATCATTGTTTAGTACAGATAGAAATGGCACACTTTTTTAAATATATTTTTCAATGATACTGAAAATAAATGATCAATCCCTCGGAAAATGTGAATCATATCGCAATTGCAATTTCAGTCAATATATTTGCACGTTGTTTTGGTTTCGTTCAGCCCAAAGGGAGCCTCTATATCCCAGGGATAATTTGGCCTTAAATATTTGACTATGTATAAAAGTCAGTGGAAATGTGTATTCGACATGCTTCACAAGCTTAACATAATTAAGCATTAGAGTTTATGCACATACCTCACTATGCGAGATTCCAGGTTGTTTTCTACTTGAAATAATGAACTACTCCTTACCTTAATAGAAATCTGTGTGGTCTCCATCATGTGGTACACCTGCTTCATCTTAGACATGCTCTTACTGGCTACATGTGCAAGTCTCTTCAGTGTAGACTTTCCTTTACCCTGTCTTATCATCTCATCTCTGTGGCTCGGCTGCTCCGCATTTTCTTTATTGTCAGCTCTTTTGCCATTTGTTTTTCCATCTTCCGATCCTTTCTTAGTCCCTTCCTTAGCCAGCACTTGTAGGGTGTTCTCACATTTAGATGACTGCTGGTGGGCGGCCACTTCCTGAGGTGTTAGGGAGATTGAGTCAACATTAAGTGAAATAGGAAAGGTCACAACGTTGCTGGACAAAGCCGGCGTGGGATTTTCTTCACTGTCAGAGGGGCAGTCTAACGTAGACTCTCCATTGCTCTGTGTTTGATTGTGCATAGTGGGAATATGTGGGCAGGAAGTAGAACGAAAATGTTTATCAAGTGTGATGTTTTGAGATTGGAGTGAGAAATCCATACTTTGAACTCGAGAGGATAAAGGCCCTGGGGTTGGATGTTCAGTTTGGGTTGACTGCGTAAAATAACCTCCCACTATATTTTCAGCAGTTTGCGTGCCTATGGATACACATTTTCCCATTCTGGATGGAGATTCTTGGTCTCTCCTCTCAGCCATCTCATTCTGAACTTGTGCATCCTGCATTGTTCTGCTTTCATTCCTCTGTTTTTCCTCCAAATGTTCCAGTCCTTGAACAAGGTCTGTGATCCCAAACTTTCGGGCTACAGACAGCACGTCCTCCTGCTCTACACCTCCTTTAACCTCCAGCTCCCCTGAGTACAGAAGGCTAACCAGCTTCAGCAGCGTCTGGCCCTTCAGGGCCTGGAGCCGGAGCTGCCGCTTCTGGCCCCTTGGAGGAGACATGGAGGCTGACAGCTTCTCAGACAGGTAAGGACTCAGCGCTGCAAGGATGCAACTGTGGGTTGGGACTGAGATACCTTTACAAGTAGTAAGAAGAAGAAATATGGGTTAATGTTTAACTACTCTTTAAAACGTTAACGTTAAAGGTTGCCACACTGCTCATCCTCACCCTCAGTTTGCAGCAAGGTATCACAGAATCGGGCATTGTGTTGCTGTTTCTGCAGCTCCTCTCGAAGCTTCATCTCATAATCTGGCCACTTGTACCGCTGCATGTCCACATGGGTACTGGGAGCGAGGAGGGACAAAAGACAAGGGGAGGACAGATAAAGCAGTATGGCTTGAATTATTATGAAACTCACACATTTACACCTTCTACTGTTGCTACCATGTACGTATAAACCTACATGATCGCCGGTAGGCTACTGCCCAAATTAAACGTCACCTTAATTTCCATTTTAGAATGTTTTTTATTCTATATTCGTTTATTTAATTGTCAATTGTTAAAGCCCCTCGCATGCTGCCAATGTCAATACATGCATATACACTCGATACGATTTATCTACTACATTTTAAAGCTATTTCTCTAAATGCAAGCATGGTTTGAAATTTCCTAAAATATACAAAATGTCACTTTAGCTTTGAAGAATTACCATAGCCTACGCAGCACGTGGTGGAGAACTGCGCTCGAGCAATGTCAACTCAAATGTCAACCTTGGTGAATGTGATGGTTAAACATTTAATTTGACTTAAGATTGTAATATTGTATTCTACCAACCATAGTCAACATTCAGCACATTGGGGCTACAACTTAGCTAGCAAGTTAGCAGAAAAATAAACCAGAAATAAATAAACATGCAATGTCCACCGTATTCACACTCACTAGCTTAATAATGCAGTCCGTTGCAATACATGTTTATTTAACCTATTTATACTGACAGCCGTGCAACTCAGTGTGGTCAAGTTGTTAGCTAAGCGCTATGCAGCTAACATGGGGTAGCATTAGCAGGAAAGTACACTCACCTGTAGCATTCTACACGAATTGCACGAGCAGAGGTATTTTGGGTTACTTCAGTGTATTTGCACTTCCAAAGGAGAAGAAGCTTTACATGTATAAACTAACACGGTTCCTACCGTCGCATCTGTTGTGTTGCGCATAGACTGTAAAGGTGTTGCGTCTTAATCTCAAAGCGCCACCTACTAGCCGCTCTGTGAAATGACACTTAGGAAAACTAGCATAACATGACAAATTAATGTTATCCTTCTTTATAAAAGCACAGGCTGATAAACAGGTGACAATAAAAACAAAAGCTCTGAGAAATCATTTCTTTTTTATTAAAAACAGTATTGCTAGTTACATAATTCATTCATAAATGAGAATGTGCAACTTTTAAGAGCCAAGGCAAAGAGATTAAGTGGTAGTCCAGAATCAGATGTTCCAATAATGTTCCAGTATCTGATGGCTGCGTTGGTGGATTTTTGTTTAGCTAACTCGTTTTGCATTTAATTAAGACATGAAGCTGAATGTTTTTTTAATGAAAACATAAAAACTGATTGCATATGCATTCACCAAGAGCACCCGAAACAATTAAACCCAAATCTATATTTAAAAAAAGGAAATACATAAAACCATTAAAATTAACAAATATTCTCTTGTATATATAGTTTAAATGTGCTTTTATTTTTTCTCTGCTTTTTTCTAATAGCAAATTCTGGTCTATGCCTCAATACACTGCAACTTTCCAACCCTTACTCTCCCCTTTTCTCCTCTTTTTTAGTCAGTCCACTCTTGAAGACATCTTGTTACATTTGAGAAAAATGAGGCATCCTGTCGTGATTCAATTGGCATGAGGAAAGGTAGAAAAAGAAGAAAACATACATTACCCCCCCCCCCCCGTGCTTCTTTTAATCATCCACTCAGTATCTACATCTCACTCGGCACTAATAATGGGTTTCATTTATAAAGCATACTAAGCATTTTTCTACATAACTGTATGTAAGAAGTGTAGGTAAAAGCAGACGGCACTGTGTCTTCTCCCATGTACTGTTGTGTAGTGTTAAAGCCAGGTAGACTTTGAAGCAGTACATTAGAGTTTTATACCTTATAAAAAGACATGTCCAATTACATCACACGAACAAGATCCTGTCCCATTATTTTTTGCAGAATAGAAAACAGGCGAGTTTAATGTACAGTATTCCCCAACTGCTGAGAAAAAGACACCTTGTTTGGTTACCTCCCCCCCCCCCCCCTATTTCATGTTAGGCACACTCATCAGAACTATCCTGATAAGCGAGGCACTCCAGTTAGCCCACATACAGAGATGCTGTTTGTTTGAACACATTCATAAGATTTACAGACGGAAATGCTGCCCAGGAATCCTGTAATATCTCCCAAGAATCACAAAGTTAAGATGCTTACACTTAACAGAAACGTCACTTCAGAAACGTAGAATACACCGACGAGATGGAGAATAATTCTATTTTTGTATTGATACTGGCACCTCCACCCTTTCACATCTACAGATCACAAACCTATACAGAAATACGCAGCAGCCCCCATGCATCATGTTGACCGTCACAAGACGCAAACAAAACAAAGCAGATGCCGGTTTGTTGCATTTAGAATTGGCAGCGGTAGCAGTGTCATTTGGCACATGTACATTAACTGTGGTACAGAGCGGAGCAAGAAGAGGAACAACCACAACCAAAAACAGAAGCAGAAGCTTTCACACATATCTGATTAGATCATTAAACATTGGTTATCAATGGTAGGAAAAACATTTGTTTGTAGTATTGAACAATCATAGAGAGAGAAAAAGACATGTCCTTGAAGTGTTGTGTAAAAGTTCACCAAAAAGTGTCCTGTTCTGACCACAGTCTCTGCCTTTGGTTGAAGAGAGAATTAATGTTGTCCAGGCGAGTTGTCGTGTCGCAGTGTAGCTTGCAGATGTAGTGTTGTAGCCGTGGTGTCTGATCGAGTGGTTTTGGAGTTAAGGGTCTCGCGGCGCACAAAAGTGGTCAAAGTGTCTCGTCCGGTTTTCCACAGGGAGCGTAGATCCACGTCCGTTTGTCTCCGTGTGATTTTGTTAAGTTTTCCAAGCTGCGATAAAGGAATGTAACCAAAAGGGAAAGAGAGAAAGAAGAGGAGCTGCAAAAAGAGTGAAGAGGGGACAGGAGAGTTGAGTGTAAAGGATGGAGTTTTGAGTCCCATCCGTAGTGTTGTGGTCCCCCATTTGTCAGTTCAGCAAGGGCAGTAGGTGGGAGGAGGCTGTCGTCTCGTGATGCACACTATCAGTTTTTCTGCAGGAGGAGAAGAAGGGTCAGAGGTGATCACATGTGACAGGTAGGGTCAATTCTAAACCTATCCGTCTGTAGTCACACTCAGAGCTGAAGGAGGCTCCCTTCTTTCAGTTAGAGGACATATATACAGCGGCAAATTTTGGGTCCAACTACACTCTCTCCGACAGAAAAATGTCATTTTCACAATAACGCTTTCAAATAGGCACCTCTCAGACCAAACATTTTTTTAATTATAATATAATAAAACTCCCAAAAACTTGTGGCAATTACTTTTCTGTAAACCTCTTTTTGTTTTCAAATCAGATGTTTATCAGCTGCTTGGTTTTTGCAACAGTCCATAGAAAATGTTACAATCAAATTCTCTATTCCACTTTTTAAGTATTTGTATTTTAATGTCTGAACACACTGCTGCTTGTGTAACAAAATTATTTCCCAAAGTGGGATCAATAAAGTATCTATCTAACAAGTCTACCATATTCTAGACTAGACACAGGTATAATAACCTTCTATAGTAACCCTCAAGTTATCATCTGTATGACAATATTACATGTATTTTATTTTGCGCAGTTTACTCATAAATGTTTGATATGGAACTGTTTGTCAACAGCATGTTTCTTGACATACACAAACACTGTTTGCATGTGATCAGATAGTGCAGGTGGATAGTCAGGGCCGATGCAGACTCGCTGTTGGAGGGCTTGATAACCCACTCCCACTTGTTGGTTTGGACCATCACTTAATGTGGTGGACTCTACACACCAACACGGAATGGAAGGGTGTAGGGGTTGGTTTGGAATTGGGCAGTTGGGTCATAACCAACCCTTACACCCTCGCAAAGAGTGTCCACCACATTAAGTGCCGTTCCAAACTAACTTGTGGGGAGCGGGAGTTATCAAACTCTCCAACAGGTAGTAATTTACCCTTCAACAGCTAATCTGCACCACCTGACAACGTATTATGGAACGAACGAGTACAAATAGTTTCGTGCAAACATTTACAAATAACTGCGCAAACTAAGATAGTTTTATGTAACAACTTCAGGGTTTACTTGGGACCATATATACCCGGGTGTGGTCTAGAAAATGGTTGACGTGTGCATTTGCCTGATAGCTTTTTTCTATATTTACAGGAACAAAAACCAAGAAGCTCATAATCATCACATTTTACAAACTAGACTAAAAAGAAACGGCACTTAAGGTTTTTTGAGTTTTACGTCTATTTTTTTTATACTGATTTTAAACCATGATTACGAAAAGTTGAGACAGTTCCTGTTTCTGTTGGATAGAGGGGAGTGAGTCCCAAAGCATGCCGCTGTATTTGCACCCTCCACATTAAAAAAGGAGACTACAGACGGAGTTTGGCTTGTGTATGGGTCGGTTTGGAATTTAGACATAATGTGAGACGGGAAAGAAATAAAATAAAAATCACAAAGAATTCACAGACGAGGCTTTAAAAAAACACATTGCACAAAAGTGGCTGCTGGCAACAAAGTCACCACATGGTAGACGAAAAAATGACACAAACTGTGCACAGAGAAATAACTAACATCACATCTCAGGAGAAATAAATATACACTTTTCACCAGCAGGGGGAGCAAAAACAGTACAATGGAAGCTCATTGACAACACTGGTCACTGTCAAACACAAGCTCTTAGTACACTGAGATATTAGGCCATGCAGTGAGAGGAGCAGCTGGTGGGACACACATACCATGCGCTGACATGCAGTGTGACAGTGGGTGAAGCCTAACCATCGTAAGAATCCATTAGAGGCAAAGAGGCCTGCCTCTCCCCATACATCCCTCCCTGAGAGAGAGAAGGAGAGATACACAAGAAAGAGCAGGAGTGTGTGATAGAGAAAGGTGACATACAGGAGGTGGTGAATAGAGAGGGTTATAGAGGGAAAACGAGTAAAAGGGAAATAAGGTCATCAGACGAGAAAAGAAAGAAGGGTTATAAAAAGGTTAGTTTATTGTTAGGTCATGTTTCAGGGGGAGAAAAAAGAACATCTGTGAGAAATGTGTGTGAAACACACGGATCAAAACGCAGTGCTTTAACAAGACATGCATAGACATGCTGTCTGTGGGTGTGTGTGAGAGCACGTCCGTTCACACGCTAACATTCTTAGCAGGAGGTGAGGATATTGGTCTGTGTGTTGTCCTGAAACCTTAAAAAGTTGTGTGTGTTGCACATGATTAACAACTTTCATATTTCCAAATGTTTCAGCTAGGTGCCCAGAATGCTGATGTCTCCTGAGAGTCCCATGGATGAAGCAGAGGCAAGCTAATTATTAAAAGATGTTTAGCAAATCGGGATCTGGCCTGCACTATAAGTGTTTTCTAGAAACTGATAAGGTAAGTAAGGGGATGCAGAGAGTATGCATCAGTTTATGTTAGGACTGAGGGAGTTATTCTCATTAAAGGGATAGTTTGGATGTTTGAAGTAGGGTTGTATCAGGTATTTATCCAGTCAGGATATTATTTATGCTATGCGGTGCTGCTGCTCCATACTTATATATACACTGCGTATGGATAACTACCTCACATAACCCTACTTCAAAACATCCAAACTATCCCTTTAAAGTGCAGTCATGCAGGGTAACGTGTGTGGGAAGAGTGAGAAGAATGTGTGTGTGTGTGTGTGTGTCTGTGTTTGTGTCCAGGCTTTTACCTGTACTGCATTTCTGTCAGCAGGTTCGAGTGTGTTATCCAGAGTGTTCCTTCTGCCTCTCTGGTCCAGTGTGGAGTAGGCATCTGAGGGAGATAATCATATGTTAAACCACAGGTGTTTGTAACGCAAAAATCTCACTAACATTGACAAGTTAGCCTATTATAAAGCTGTGTGTGTGTGTTTTTAATTGTCCCACTTGCCTGGTCCCATGTCGTTGAGTGGAATCATTTCCCGGTCCCCTTTGCCCCC